CCCCAAAACCCCAAAACCCCAAAACCCCAAAACCCCTTTTAGGATTTTAGATTTTGAAACTAAAGAAAATCATTAATTTAAAATCAAATGAAAAATCCGCAATTAATTCTTGCGTTGGTTTTATGACTTGTTTTAGTCACAATAGCTTACAGACCCCCTACAATCCATGAAATTCATGCTGACGGAGATGAACTCAGAGAGCTCCTTAATATCAACACAAGAGATATCATAGTATCAGTATGGTTCAGGAACGATAAGCGCAATGAGGAGCTTAACAACAAAAACCAGCTGGTTATTACTACGATCAAAGCTTTGTTAGCAAGATGCCATCCAAAGGTGATTTATACTCAGGCTGACCTCTCTTCTACAAATCCTAGAAAGTATGAGTTTGTCAGACTAGCCAAGGACTGGAATCTAAAGATCAATAAACTTAAAGATGGCCCAATGATCATGGTAATGCACAGACAAGACGGAGAGATTCATTGGTCAACACCAGACATTCCTCTCAACAAGTTAGGTAAATCACATTGTGTGATAGTTTAGTCGAGAAGGTCCAGAGAGATCTCCAGAATCATGAAATAGCTAGATTTGGCACTACAGAGCATGGATGAATGGTAGATTTGGACTATGTTCCATCTGTAAACCGAACTCCTCCAAGACGATATGAGCCATATGCTAAACGCAGACAATCTTCTGTTATTAATAGTGAACAAGAAAATGAGTTTATTGAAGAAGAGCCATTTGAAACTCCTGAAGAAGATATACATGAACATGATGAAAATAGACAAACTACTTCTTATGAATCTTCTGATGATAGTTTAGATAGGGAAAGCGATAAAGTACATATATCAGAACCGGAAGAAGAGTCATTTGACTCCTCAGAAGAGCCTATACCTTCTTCAAAAGACTCTTCCTCATCTTCAGAATCTCCAATCCTTCCTCCAGATGACGAAGTAGTAGTTGACCAAAAGATAAGTCTTTGCAAACCACACAAAGCTTTTTGTTTCAAACGCTATTAACCTTCAATCTTAGGTCAAAATTTTGGGGTTTTGGGGTTTTGGGGTTTTGGGG